CGGGCTGCAGCGGTGCCAAAAGTTTGCTCGGCTAGGGGCGCGGGCGGAGGCAGCGCCGAGGGACCCGCGCGCCTCGCTCGCGCCGGGAAGGGAGGAGGGAGGGCGGCGGCCGGCGGGGAAGGCAGGCTGGGACAGGATGTGACATCAAAAAGGCGGGGGAAATTGAACTGGGGCAAACAGCTCCATCCCGGCTGGCTTGAGGCCAGGGGGGCTCCGGGACCCTAGGACGCGAAGGGAGGCGGCCACCAGCGCTGGGGACTCAGCCAGGGGACCGCAGCGTGGGGAGGGAATGGCGCCCCGGGAGGCTCCGGCGGGGGCGGGGGAGGTTTAAGACGGGTGGGGTGGCACCCCAGCAGGAAGGGACCATAATGTGCTCTGGAGGACTCAGGGTCCCCAAAGATGGTTCCAGGAGTGTGAGGTGGGGAGACTGGAACTTGGGTCCTCTGAGAAAGGGAGGGGTCTTTCTCTGTCCCTGCTCAGCTGGGGGTTGAATTGAGATCAGGGAGAGGTGCTGGCTTCCATCCCCAAGTGGGGGTTGGGATGGGGGCCTGTTCTTGTGTTATGGCACCCACATGGGTGGATAGACACACGTGCGGTCCGTCATTGGGTGTTGGGTTGTGACACAGTTTCCCGACCCAGTTACCTTGCGGGAACCATAACTCAGGAAATGAACTCTAGACAGGGCCCAGGTGAGGACTCCCCTCCACCAGGACCGGGGCTTCTAGACACCTCCAGGCTCATCCTGCCCTTGTCCCTTGTCCTGGCCCTGAGAACCCTCCACTTGGGGTGGAAATGCTCCTTCTCCTTTCCTTGTATGAAGAGCCTGGGACTCAGGGAGCTTGTCTTGGGGCCAAGCATCTTCCATTTAAATTCTGTACACGAGGAAAGGGTCCCCAGGGACCTCTGTTTCCTGGGAAGCTCAGGCTGAAGGCTTTGGGGAGCGTCCCTCTGAACCGTTCTCCATTGTTCTCTTTGGAAAAATGAACTCTGTAAAGAAAATACCCGGGAGCAAATGGAAGAGCTGCGGGGGAACCGGGTCCTATGCACTCCTGTCACAGTCGGGACACTGGAGCACTGGGGTGGGGCTTATCTGGTCACCCATCGAGAGTTCAGAGCAAGGTGGGATGCCAGTTCCCCCGTGGACACCAGGAGTGGCTTTACCACTTCTCTTTAAGCCCCCTGAGGACAGACTCCAGCAGGGAAGTAAGGCTGGTCTGGGCTTTGGGTCAGAAGAAGGAGGGCTCCTGGGGGCAGGCCCTCTGGGCAGGAAGGCAGGTAAGGGGCCCCTGCAACTCTGAGAGGAAGTGATCAGGGAGAAAATGGAGAGAGGCTGAGGGCTTTCCTACCTGCTTCTTTTTTTTTTGAGACAGGGGCTCCCCAGCTGGTCTACAACTTGCTGTGTAGACCAGGTTGGGCTCTTTCACAGAAATCTGCCTGCCTCTGTTTCCCAAATGCTGGGACTAAAGGTGTGCATCACCATGCCCAACTAGTCTCCTATTTCCTTAAAATTACAGTATCCTCATTTTCATAAGGTGAAGGAAAGCACCTTGCAAGCCCCTTGTGATCAGGGTCTGGAGAGAATATTCCATGTGGCCCAGAGACTGGTGTCTTACCCTGACTCTTCCAAGTTCTGGCCTTCAGAGGCTTGGTTTCCACATCTGTGGAATGGGAATGAATGGGATGGGCGTCTCATGGTTCTAGCTGTTGAGATCAAATGCAGGGAAAGGCAATTGTTCAATAAACTCAAAAGAAGGCTAAGGATGGTTCTAAGTGTGAGAGCTGTCTGTACTCCAGGTTCCCCCCAGACTTCAAGTAGACATTCTAGCATGGCCGACCTTGTGTATAGAGGATGAGACAGAGGTAGACCTGGGATGTGAACCCTGGTCTTTGGGGTTCTGTTTCTATGGACAGAAAAGACCACATCGATTTCCTCAGGTGGAGAGACCTAATTGTACCAGACATTGTTTCTACTCTGGAGGGGGTGGGGGGTGGGGAGGCCCATCATCAGCATCAAGTATCATCATCAGTCACTCTCTGACTTTTGAGACAGGGCCTTTCACTGAACCTGGAGCTTATCAGTTCACTGGACTTGCTGGCCAGCTTGCCCCAGGGATCCTCTGGCCTCTACCTCCCCGATACTGGGATTCTAGACTTTTTATGCAGGTGCAAGGGATGGAGACTCAGCTTGTATTTGTGCAGCAAATGCTTTACCAACTGAGCCATCTCCTGAGCCCATTTTTACTTTTAAAATCATACAACCGCATGGCCCTGTAATTCCATTTCTAGGAATGGAAAACAGTGCATAAAACAGGTATTTCCACATCTATGTTCAGAGCAGCTTTTCACATAAAACCAATAAGGGGAAAACTCAAGCAGGTCAATAATCCTGACCAGGTGAGCAGAGAGAAAAATGTGTTCTACACGCAAAGCCATGTCCAAGCAAACAGTACTCAGCCCTGAAAAGAAAGGACATTCTGACAGGCGCTGCCATAGAGCCACAGAAGGTCTGATGTCCCATGACCCTGCTCCTGTGTGGAACCTAGAAGGGGTTCACTTCCTTGTGCAAACTGAAAGGGGATTAGAAGTTACCAGGGCTGAGGGTAAAAGGAGTGAGGGATGGTCACTAAGTTAGGACAAGGTGTGTTTAGGGTGGTGAAAGAGGTTTTGAAGATGGTGGTGATGGATGAGCAGTGTGATGACTGCCTTCTTTCAGTTACTGAATGGCACACTTTAAATGTTATATCCCATGTTCTTACCCCAATAAAATAGAGTCATGTAAAAGACCTCAAACCACTGACTTGTGCACGTTAGATGTTTAGATATCTGTGTGAGTATATGTTATGTATGTATAATGCTCTTAGAAGCCAGAAGAGGGTGTTAGATCCCCTAGAGCTGAAGTTACAGGAGGTTGTGCTCTGTCAGACATGGGTGCTGAGAACTGAACTCAGGTCTTCTAGGAGAACAGCAGTACTCTTAACTCTAAGCCATTTCTCTAGACCCAACTTGTACACTTTAAATGGGTGAATTAAATAGGATGTGTATTAGAGCTTAATAAAACTGCTTTTAAAAAATTACATACTGGGACTGGTGAGATGGCTCAGTGGTTAAGAGCACTGGCTGCTCTTCCAGAGGACCCGGGTTCCATTCCCAGTACCCACATGGCAGCTTACGACCATCTGTAACTCCAGTTCCAGGGGATCCAGTGCCCTCTTTTGACCTCTGTGGGCATTGCACAACACAGGTAGACTTATATACATGCAGACAATACACTCATATACATAAAATAAAAATAATAAAAAATTGCTTAGGCTGGGGATGTAGCTCAGTGGTAGGGTGCTTGCTGAGCATGCACAGGGCTCTGGGCTCCATCCCCAGCTACACACACACAAAGAACTTGCACACAGACATTGTTGCAAGACTTGAAAAAATACAAAGAAGAAGGTAACCACAAGAAAGACTTACCCTCCTCCCTCTCCATCCCTGAAACCCTTGAGGCACCAGTAGGCTCTGACAGCCCATTCTTCAAGCATGTGGACAAATGAACAGCAGGTGCTTGGGAGTCGGTGGCCTCCAGGGCCACATGACTCTGGCTCCATCCAGCTCTGCCTCTCGGGAACTGCTGTGATCCTGGTCACCCCTGTGTGTTCTACCCATCCCCACCAGCGGAGTGATGATCAGAGCCTCCAGTCTGTGCCCACTCAGAAGAGCAAGAGCACAGAGAGATTCAGACTCCCAGCCCTGCCCGGCACCCAGTCGTGGCTGGAAACAGAAAGGAAAAAATAAGCGGAACCTGGAAACTGGATGTGTCTCAGCACAATCGGAATAAGTGGAATAATCTAGAATAAGCGGAACCTGGAAACTGGATGTGTCTCAGCACAATCGTGTAGCGTTTGCCTTGCAGCCTTGCACCCCTTCCTGAATATCTTGTTTCCTTACTTATTTTTGGTCAGTGTTTTCAGTTTTATGTAAAAATGTTTAAGATCAGGGCTGGAGAGATGGCTCAGCGGTTAAGAGCACTGACTGCCCTTGCAGAGGACCCGGGTTCGATTCCCAGCACCCACATGGCAGCTATGAACCGTCCTTAACTCCAGTTCCAGGGGAATCCGCAGCCCTCTTCTGAGCTCCCCATGCATTGCATGACACGGGTGCACTCACATACATGCAGATGATATACCCATACACATAAAATAAAAACAATAAATAAAAATTTTAAAATGGTTAAGATTTATTTGTATTATAATTCTCATATTTTATTTTTTATTATTTTTATGTGTATGAGTGTATTGCTTGTATGCATATACATGCACCCGTGTTGTGCAGTGCTCATGGAAGTCAGAAGAGGGCATTGGATCACCTGGAAATGGGGTTGCAGACAGTTGTTAACTGTCATGTGGGTGCTGGGAATCGAACCCAGGTCCTCTGCAAGAGCAGCCAGTGCTCTTAACCTCTAAGCCATCTCTCCAGCCCTTATTTATAGTATTTTTAAAGACTTATTTTTATCATTTTTGATTCCTTCTCTCTCTCTCTCTCTCTCTCTCTCTCTCTCTCTCGAGAGAGAGAGAGAGAGAGAGAGAGAGAAAATGTGCACAAGTGCAGGTGCCTTAGGCAGCCAGAGGTGTCAGATCCCCCTGGAACTGAAGTTATAGACAGTTGTGAGCTGCCTGATATGGGTGCTTAGAACTTAACTCAGGTCCTTTGCAAGAGCAGTAAGACCTCTTAACCACTGGGCCATCTCTCTAGGCCCCTATTTTAAATTTTTTATTTTAATTGGCACATAATATTTGTATGTATTTCCTGCATATTCCACCAGCTAATCACTTCTAGATTACTGCTAATACTTAATGCAACGTAAAATCTGTGTAAACAGTTCTTGTAACATTTCATTTCAGGAGCAAGGACAAGAAAAAAACGGTTGGTGTT